GATAATTTCAAAGCACAACTTGTTTCCACGAAATCACATAAATACTCTGTCCAAGTGACGGCTGTAATCTGGAATAAGAAGATAAAGTTGGAGGAGGTCAACAATAAGAATAGGGTAATGATTTTTTTCAAAATACATGGAAAAGTCCATTGAAAAGAATTCTACACGTGACAGAAATAACTATACACCAACTATATGTTCAAATTGTTTTAACCTTTGGCTTCCTTTTCTTATTTTCTATAGCCATGGAGAAGTTGCCACTGTCTTTTACTAGCAAGCAAAGAAGAGCTGAATAAGATTCCACAATGAGAGATGGAGTACTGTCCTTATGGCAAATGGCATTTTCAAAATCTCTGAGGGAGAATGGCGACAAGCTTAATAACCTGCCGAAAGAAGTACAGAAATCCCACACCATCAAAAGATTCCCAACACACTCCATGGGTACATAGAAATCCCTGCATGGAGAAGGACGCTCTGTCAAATAATGGTCTTCCTCAGACTGTTGCACCAATAGATCATCAATGGGATATTTAACTGCCTGAGCTTCCGATTTCTCATTTCCTTTCCTGTGAACTAAACCATTTTCATTCGCCTCCTGATTAACATAAAGAATATGGGAACATCAGCCTTAATTCCAAAAAGAACCAAAAAGATGGGGAAAAAAAAAATCTCAATATTTACCCCAGTATTTTTCTCATTGTCACTTCTTTTTCTCTTCCTATTATTAACTATGAGTCCATCTTGTATGGAAATTTTACTTATTAGTTCTTTGGGAGGAGCAGTTGAAATTCCATGCTTCTTCGCCAAACTATCATGTAAGACCCAGGGAAAACTTCGATATGTTGAATCTTTGATAAAAGACTTCAGAACAGCCCTAGTAAAAGGTAGTTTCTTCCCAGTCAAGTCTTCACCCTTTACTAATGCCTTTCCAGTTGCTTTATTATCACGTCCAAGCCAGGCAACCTCGTATTGAGTTTTGTCCACCTCTTCAGGAACCTTCACAATTTTGCACCTATGTAAACAACCATCCTTTTTCCCATATAATACAGCACCCTCTGAGAAGGGTCCCTGTAACTTTGCAGCAATAGAATTTGCAAGATCCCTTAATGTGAGCATGCCTGCCAGGGGGGAAAAAATTAAACTTATCCGAAGCAATGTGAACAACAGTAATTAATAGACCAAATCAAAATGTTCAAGAAAAAAAATATATATATCCGAAGCAATTTGAACTTTTGTGATTAAAAGACCAAATCCCTACTCATTCAATTTGAGCCATTGGCTCACTGAAGCAATTCACTGTAGTTAGAACTTAATTTCATTCTCGAATTTCCAAAACATTATAAGTTAAAAAAGCTAGATGAGCCACCTAAAACAAACTGAAATGGGGCAGTTTTGAACTTTTTAAGTCCCCATAGATGGCATATCAGCAATTTGTCTAATGACTCCTAGAGTTGAGCTCCCAATCCAGAGCTTAAAGTGCAAGAAGGGGGCAAGGGATGTTGGAAGAGGGCTAACTAGGTTTAAATTCATGGTATCCCAACATCGTCAAAGCATATATGCAATTAAAGCAAAGGCTTGTTATGTCAACTAGTCACCATGTTCCTGTTCCTTGTTAAGAAAGCAGTATAACTTACAAGTATATCAGATATAAGATGGTAATTGAGGCTGCTACTTTATGATTATGTAATTTCAGGGCTAAATAACTAAGGGTGCGTTTGATTGCAATGGTGGAAAATGGGTAGAAAAAAAATGTTTTACAGGAAAAAGATTTGCCTAAAAAATATTTTGCAGGGAAAATGATTTCAAGTGTGTTTGATTGGTATAATTTTCCACCCGGAAAATTTTTAAATTTTCTATTCATTTGACTTTATTTTACATGGAAATTGTCCATTAAAGTGATATTTTTTTCCACAATTGGTTATAAAATTTGTTTCCATTGCCAAAAAGTTAAAAAAAAAAGAGAGAAAAAAAATTGTTTTCTAAAAAATCATTTTTTTAATCAAAGTTTAGTATTCGTTTGACTTTGTTTTACATAGAAATTGTCCATTAAAGTAAAAAAATTTTTACCATTGATTATGACATTTGTTTCCATTGTAAAAAAAAATTCCAGCCAGCGTGGAAAATTTTTTCATCAAAAAGTTGGAAAATGCACACGTGTAGGCTAAAGGTGGAAAATATTTTCCGTAGAAAATTGCGCCTATCAAACAGCCAAAAAAGTGGAAAGTAGAAAATATTTTCCTAATTCCCTGGAAAATAATGCCAATCAAACAGGGCCTAAGTGTTCACTTAAAATAAATTATCTAGAGAATAAAATTGCACATACACTTGAGATAGTACAACTTTACATATCAATTTAATAAAAAGTCGACAAATTCAGCATTGCAGCATCAGTCAATATGCAGCCACGTTTAATCCTTCAGTAAACCCAACTTCCTCCAACATTCTTGCAACCACGAATCAATTAACTTAGATTCATTCAGCAAAGAAAGGTTCTCTGATACTTGCAGGCTTGAGATAGAAGTCCTCAACACCAATAATTCTCAAACAAAATAAATGACAAAAGGGCAAGTAATCGGAACTATACTGACATGAACAGTTTCCAATCACTCTAGTGGACTCGAAACGTGACGTACGCGGATATATCGAAGACCAAGTCTTAGTGAAGGTGTATGGTGGGAACCTTCTATAAGAAATATAAGAGAAAACACTACATCCCGAATACCACATGGTTTGTTCACCAGCAGATAAGCTAAGCAATGTTCATAAAAGGGAAGTGGCTGACTTACTTTTTTCTAGCTCGGCCCTTTATTCCTACGCCTCTTTGATCAAGAAAATTAAATCTTAATATCAAGTCAAAATCCATGGACATTTAAGACATATTGGTGACATTCTGAACTGGCCTTTGCCAGTGCACAAACTGAGAATTTTCAATGCATGAATTAATTGCAAATTTCTACTTGGTCCGTGCTACTTCATGAACTGAGTGCAGGTCCACCACCCTACTTTGTCAAGAGTGTTATTAAGGTTAAGCACTACACTTATCTAACGCGGTGAAGGAGACCCAAAATTTGGTGGTTGAAAAACAGTAAAGGACACTTTATATCCTAATTCTGAGGGAGATGGCATTATCTTCTCCAAACACCTGAGAAAACGGGTTTGCATTCTATGATGTCCATAACTGAACAAGACTTTTGATATTTTCACATTAAGAAGTGTTCATTTTCTTGTGATGCTCGTATAATTGATGGATTTTTCAAGTGTTTGCTTCAGCTACATTTATCAGCATTAAAAAGGAAAACAAATCAAATTTGTGACATAAACAAGGAAGTTGTTGAAGCTGAGATCAAATAGAATGAAGCCCTCCCTTTTGTGTCAACTCAATTTTTGGCACAATCCCATCGGCAAATTTTTGAAACTTGGAGCAATAACCAAATCATAACAACATCATAACACTGGTCAACAATGAATCATAACTACATCCTAACACTGGTCAACAATGCCATACAAACACAAATTTGCAGAAAATTTCTGGCCACAAGCATTCCTGCGAATTTAAGTTTATCAATGACCATACCATATAGAGTAGCAAAACCAATCATTTTAAACAGCATAGAAACATGAATGCACCAGGTATATAAAACATGTTTATGTGAAATGGTCCAAAACAGAGCCTAGCTGGCAACATAAAACAGTTAATACCATAGTTTTACTGATATTGCGGTACAAAACCACCTTCATTGATTATCATCAAGATGCATACCTCAATCCAGTACACATGAACAATGAGCCAGTGAAAGCTTCATGGAGAAAAAAGATGGAGATACCAAAGTGAAGTCAATTTCCAAAAGTATAATTTACTAATTAGTCAGCTATGAAAGTCACGTGACAAGATGCAACTCATCTTGCCATTTGTTATCAATAAAGATCATCAATGAGCATCATATTGTAGGAGGCAAATTCAGTCTTGGCATTTTCTGTCAACAGGTTATCAATTTCAATGGTCCACGCTTAATGCTCAAATTTGTTTTGTCAAAATCCTTCTCAATAACCACGAGACATTTGACTCCTAGTGACTCTGAAAATAACAGCAGAATGTTGGTAACAAACCAAACTTCCTGACCCCATTCAAACTTTGTTTCACCTGGAATCCACAACCATCACTATGGACAAAATTTGCATAAATTCCTATCCATCTTTAGTCAAACAAAGTTATATCCAGTGTTTAAAAATGCTAAATCGGGTATTGAGGCCTTTTTCATTTGCGAGGCGAGGTGTACGCCTCGAGGCTTTTTGAGGCATAAGCCTCACCGTGAACCAAAAATACATAAAAACAACATTTTTCTAGGAATTGCAATAGAATATTAACATATTTTAAATTCAATCTCAAGTCTCTTTATTTTTTCCAATAATGATAAAATTTAGTTTTAGAATCAATTCGTTTATCATCTTGTTAGAGCATTCATGTATCATGTATCATGTACCTATCCATCATCATGTTTTTCTTCAAAACATAAGAAGAAAGTAGAAAGTAGAAGATGAGACAAAATAGTTGATCATCCATGATCCACGAGAAGAAACAACCAAAAACAATAAAAAAGATAAAGACAAAAAAAAAAATCAGAAAGCAAAAAAAAAAAACAGAAGCCACCAAGTGAGTCGATGTTGAACAGTTCTACAGTTGGTGAGAAAGCTGTATGTGTGTTGTGTTTATGTTTGGGTTGGTTTCAATCTATAATTCATTATCGTTTGTGGCTGATATAACCAGCACATGTAGGTTTTCAATCATAGTGGGCCCCCAATACAAAACACCATAAACAATGAGAGGTATGTGCATTGAGGCTTGCGTCCCAATCAGGTGAAGCGTGAGCCTAATGAATACTCAGTTATTCAAGCCCAGAGGCTAATTTTGAGTTCCTCAAAGCATGCTTCACAATCGCCTTTCTAAAACATGGTTATATCAAACTCTAAACAGAATTATATTGGTCATAAACATAAATCAAATTCTAATTAATATCAAGAGCCCAAAATTGCATGCTGAGAGAATTGAAGATTGTTTTAGAAAAATGACAACTCAATGCAGTACATGTTGAATTAAAAGCTAAAGCCAGCATCAAGAGTGAAACTCAAAGCTGTATTTAAGTGAGGTGAACAATACTTCAAGTCTATAAGAGGATGAAGCAACTAGATATATTACCCCAACAATACAATGCCTCAGGTCTCAGAAGTGATTTATCACCATTCAAATAGGCTTTCAATCGAACTCTTTTGAGCCAAAATTAGAATATTTAAAGTAAAATTGGTCTCATTTTTCTGTTTTTAAGTTGTCTTTTTTTTTTTTTTGATAGGTCTGTTTTTAAGTTGTCTTTATCACATTAATGACACAAAACATATAAAGATAAAGTAAAAATGTTTCACACCACCAAATTGGGCATTTCAAAATGCAATCTACCACATTGTCGTGGAGTGCAACCCTACTTAACTAAGTTTCACTAAATTTTAACGTCCCCTGGCAGCTCCAATCGGCCACTTCTCCAATCTGTAAGATTTTAGTCTGATTCTCTGTGACCGACAAATTCCTGCTATTAATTCAGACAAAGCTTCATCTCATAAACACATTAATGAAGATGTTGGGCATTGCACGTAAGGCTGAAAGAGATTTTGGTCACTAACATGGTATGAAAAAACCCTACTAAGGCCCGCCTCACTGTGAGGCGCAGCTTCTGTGCCTCGAGGCTCAATTTGTGAGGCACAAAAAATGAGGCGCACGCCTCTACATCTGAGGCAAAAAAAATGAGGCGTGCGCCTCATTTAAAGTATGTTTTTTTCAGGTTTTTNGCCCAATTCATGAATATGCGAATCTTTTTTGCAGCAGGAAATTCGTCATCAAACGAAAGGGAGATTGTTGCTATTGTTTTGTTGCTGCTGGCTTGTGCCGGCTTCGTGTCGGCTACTGATTGGATACTCGCTATTCGAAGGTTAGGAAGGTTTTACCTTACGTGCGTACTTTATTCTATTGGTCTTTTTCCCAAGGGTTTATCCAAAAAAATCCTGCTAGCGGATGCTGCCCTTGTTGAACTGCGGATGCTTGCTGGCCGGTGGGAGGGAATGAAGAGATCTAGCAATTGCAATTGAAAACGCGGTAACCTTGGACCAGGTGTGAGATTCTTACAGTTCGTTCGACCAATCAAACTTCCGATCTACTCCCAAATGTGATCTACGTACTCGGTTCGCTTTCACGCAAAGCTCTCTACTCCCATGCTCCAACTATCATACCTTTACCTCGATCTTGAGGCCTACCTATTGTCCCAATGCAATCTGTCTTTCTAGATATTTTGAAAAACAAAGAAAGGCGGGCCATACACTTCAGAAAGTAGATCTTTGCAGGAGGCTCTTTCTCATCCCTTCTCCGTTTCGTTCTTTTCTTTTAAGGCTCATCTGACAAACAGCTAAATTGAATCTCATATATCTTTTTATAGTAGACAATAGATACTTTTTAAGTGAAAGGCCTTAGGGAGTAGCAGACCTACGGAAACTTTCTTCTAATCCCAAACTCACCCAATGAATGGCTGATAAAGTGTGAGAATAATAGTTTTAACTTAAGCTGGTAAAAATAAAGGTATTGTGAGTTCCCTGGGCGTCTTTTGGCCAAGAGGACAAAACGGCTATGGCACTCGTAAAGAAGAAGGATGGGGGCAGTGATGAGGAGAACAACTATAGAGGAGCGAACTAATTTCAGGCAAGAACTCAGAGTTCTGTAAAATGTGAAGGAGACAGTAACTTAAGTGCTGATACAGGAAAAAGGCGATTTTTCAAATCAATACCGTCTATGAATTCATTTTATTCTGGTCACGCTCATAGTCTTGTGAATCATTCATCATCAATGCTCATAGGTTCGGCAGTATAATAAAATTTTGACTTCTCATACTTAAACTCGACATAAAGGATGTTTTGTCGTAGGGATCAAATTAAGAAACAAGTTCAGAAAACGAAATTTGCACATTAAAAGAATATAAATATATAATTATGCTCGTGGTCAGTAGATTCTTGTTGCGTACAATCACACATCACCTGGTGCCTGACTACCTGGAACTTCACTAGTTTGACCTGATTAAATCATTAAGCACCAACCTTATATTAATTAAGGTTAAAGAATACCTCAATATCAATAAAACAAACAAAATCAAGATGTAGGCTTACTTTTTCAAAGATAAAATAGAACATCAGAAAGTAAACTTCAATGAAATGGCTGATAACGATAAGGATAGAGAAATTACTGAATTGAACTTCACGAAGCATGGGAGGCACTAACTCCTTGGGGAAATTTTGGATTTTTTCCGCAGCTTCTTTCTCTGAAACCAAAGCCTCTTCATAGGTCAAGTTAATTTTCCCCGTTGCTTTGCATGTCCACACTCTTTTTCGATATAAATTAATCCTCTTCAAATACTCACTGAATATTAAAGAATTGAATTAAAGATAACAGTCAATGCAAAAAATTTGAACACGTAGCACATGACACACCAACGTTAAAAATAAAATGAATACAGAATTTTACCTATAATCTCTGAAGATTTCTTTCGTAAACCGGACCTGAAAGACAAGCTCTTGAGGCTTTAAATCCTTGGGCTTCTCCACCAGAGAAAATGGCTTCCTTTTGTAGAGAGGCATTTCTCTTTACGCTCTTAATTTTCTTGGAATTTCAACTTCAAACCCTGGAAAATAAAGAAAGCACAAAAAATTAAGGATCCGTCAGAAAGGTGGAGAAACAAACTAAACGAAGAAATGAAGAAAAAATAACGAGAACGCAGAAAAAAATCCCAAAAAAATGTTAAAGAACAGAACAGACGATAAACCTACAAAATTATGCAGAAATCAAAAGGGCAGTTCACAATGCCGGAAAAAACCCCAGATGGAAAAAAAAAACGGAACTTTAACCTTTAAAATTACTGCTGAACAACATAAAATACATTCATGTAATTAAGACTCCTCGATGCTATAAGCAATAACTAAACAGCACAGAAGATCCCAGAAACCCAAAAAAAAACACAACAATTTTTTCAGTTCGTCAATGTGAAAAATAATAGACAAATTATTTCCCGCCAGAAGCGGATTTAACAAGGAGGAGAGTTTTACCAGAAATAATGAATCGATTTGATTGCGTAATTGAAAGTAATGTGTATGTACAGGAGAAAGAGAATCGCGAATCGGGTTTGGGAGAAGAAAGAGAGAAGCGGTGATGGTACGTTTTTTCGCCACTGAATCCTTACGTGTTGGTTCTCCTCTCTCTCTTCTCTCTCTCTATCTCTCTCTCACAGCTTGCATTTATATACGATTTTTTTTGTTTAAATGGCTCCTTTAACCGGAAAAAGGTGAAAAAAGGCCAAACATTAGCACCGATATTATCGTTTGAAGACTTTTATTTGTTTTAGTACTTGGGGAAATTAAGGGGTTGGTCCTCAACCTATTGACCTGGTTGTGTTATCGTCCCCTACCTATTTTTCCGGTAGAGTAGTTGATCACCAATAATATATTCAAACTATTTAATGATTTAAGAATCAACTTACGTAGAAAATATCCCAGCATCCCTTTTTGCTTTGCATCCCAGCATCATCACTACCCTTAACCAATACCAATTAAAACATGAGTAAGGGAGCATCAATCTCAAAGCTTTTCACTAATGACGATTTTCGCTAAAAATTTCTGTTAACGAGCTTTAAAATTAGAGACAATGTTTACTTATTCAATTTTTGCTTATTTGAAAATCTGAAGGGACAATAAGTCTTTTTACTCCTTCCTAACAAAATTTTTGAACGAAATCATAAATAGGACAAAATGTGCTAATTAGTGAAAGACTGATTATAAGAGTGCAATTAAAAAGTTGAAGATATAAGTGTGAGAATGAGCAAAGATTAAGAACCTTATACACAATTAAAATATGTTGCACATACAAAGAAAAACGTGACATCTATACATTTAGGATCCGTTTGATTGCAAGGATGGAAAATGGGTGGAAAGAAAATAAATTTCAAGGAAAATAATTGTCTAGAAATATTTTGCACGAAATTGTTAATTAAGTGTGTTTGATTAGTTCCCTTCAGGATCACTGAGGTGAGTACTCGACCGTAAACTTCAAGGCCCCGTGGAATTAGTCGAGGTGCGCACAAGCTGGCCCGGACATCCACGGTTATAAAAAAAAAAAAGTGTGTTTGATTAGTAAAATTTTCTGGGTAGAAAATTTTTTAATTTTGTGTTCGTTTGGCTTAGTTTTACATGAAAATTGTCCATTAAAGTGATTTTTTTTCCACAATTTGTTATAAAATTTGTTTCCATTGCCAAAAAGTAATTAAAAAAAAAAACAAAAAAAATAATTTTTTTTTTATCAAAGTTTAGTATTCTTTTGGTTTTGTTTTACATGAAAATTGTCTATTAAATTGAAATTATTTTTTTATAACTAGTTATAAAATTTGTTTTCATTGCCGAGAAAAATAAAATAAAAAGGGGGCAGCAGCCACCTAAAAACAAGGAAAGAGAGCGCGTGGGGTGGAGGGTGGAAAATTTTTTTTTGGCCAAATTTCTTCCATCAAACACTTCTTTTGCATGAAAATGGAAAAGCTTTTCCATTTTTCAAGGAAAAAGTTGTGTATCAAACACAACCTTAGCCTTTTGTAATAGATTATGAATAAGAAAATCAAGAAACCAGAAAAGTAGGCTATGTGTTGAGGCCAAAGAAACTGAATCCATCAGATTTCATCAAGATGATAAAACTGAAATAATTACTTGCATTTTCACAGAAATAGGTGGCGGAATGCCTATAAGAGATTCAAACACAAGACCATTACATTGATACAACAAATCATATGATCTGCTCAAGGGCAGTTTCCCGAATCAAGACACGGGTGATTATGGATTGAAATAACTTACAAAATGAGATCATCAACTCCATATATGCATTGACAAATTGTATATCCAAGTTCCCAGTTTGGCTGCCTGGTGGAGTCAAGACACCAGAAACTCGCGCAAATTACGTTGGAAATTACAACTCTGAATGCAATTCAGATGGATTGATGCCAACATTCTTCAAGTTTGATGAACTCAAGTCCACTCCCTGGGATAATCTCGAGAGAATAAGTCGGGCTATGTTCTCAGCCGCAACAGCACTTGTTTCCATAGTGCTGGCTGCATTCTCAAATGCATTCACATAGTACAAATGCTGACTATCTAAAATAAAGGGAGCAAATTTCTCAGGAGCATGATAATGAGGATAAGCAGCCCAGTCGATTTTGATAGTCTCTTTTCTTGTACTGCAGATGTAAATGTCAAGAGAAAAATATAAGGAAAAATGGCAACTTATAGGTTGACTAATGAATAAAAATTACAAACTAGTGCAAGTTTAGAAGAGTTTCTCCGTTAAAATTGATTGGTCCATGATACAAGATATCGACCAACTTCACACAAAAGATCATATGGCAAATGTATATTAAACATCCTGAAATGTAAGGAGAGTACACAATCGGTATTCGGTTAACTGTGATGACAGGAATCTTACCAATTGGCTACAGAATTATGGAAACCCGTGTTGTGAGCCCAACGTCAGCCAAAACAGAAATAACAAAAAGAACCTAATCGGTCATTCTGGATGGAGATGCTGAAACCTAAGGGCGAGGAAACTGCTTAACATGTTTAGATTTTCCAGAACAGTGTCTTAAAAAACACGTGACAAACCCAAGCAAATTGAGAATGACAACAGGCCAGAGACAGTATATTATTGGCTATGCCTATATCATATAACAATAAATAACAAATCGTGATGATTTGGACAAGGATAATACCCTTTATATACACTGAGAACACAGACGAGCTATTTCATAAACTCGAACAAATTTACTGAAAATAAGAAATGACTGTTCAAACTGGCTCACTGTCTATGTATTCCGGTGGTAACAACTAGCAGCTAAGTATCGACCCCATAAACTTGGGGTTAATTACATGAATCATTTTAAATCCTAATGCAATAAATAAATAGAATCAATGTTGCAGCTCTCCAGCTTTTAACAAATGATTACTGCAAGCAAACTTAGTATACCTGAAAACTTTGTCCAGCAAGGCATCTGTCATTGGCTCACGAGAGAATACCTTGTAAGTCATATCATTCTCATGTTGCTTGAGAATACTGATGCTCGAGAATGGTACATCAGGAGACTCTTTAGTGCCTACCAAGTCTGGGATATCCAAAAGTGAGTTCAGACCAAAATATGCCTGCTCACAGCAAATAATTAAATTGGATACATCAAAAATATAAAAAGGGATAAGCAAGGACAAGAATGATGTTAAAGGGAATCCCATATACTTACAGGACTTAAGAGACCCCTAACGAAAGTTGCATGCGTGTGCTGTAATTTCCTTGGAGGAATTGAAATTCTAGGATTGAAATCAATATTCAGCTCATCTAAGGGTGTTGCTACCACTGTAACTCCACAGTTATAACTCTTCCCTTGGGTGGAGTTGAGCACATAAACATCCCCTAGATAAGTGACAGAATCTATTTCTTCATGAAGGTGCAATACAACATCAGATCTGTTGATCAATCCAGCAGCCATCTGCCAGTTCCCTCCTTCAATTGACCATAAACCGCCTTCAGATCCAGCCAAGGAAACTGCACCAGCAAGTCCACTGATGTTAACACTTTGACCATAATTTATCCTTGTTATAACCTGTACAAGAAATATAAATTTTAAATTATTTCAAAATCCAAAATCAAGTGTCTAAGTTCAAGCTGCTTAAATTACGTGGTAGCTTGGTCCTAGAAGTATCAGAATTTCCACACATGGACCAAATTTTAGATCAAAGACAAGAAGGGGCAATGGAATAGAAGAAGTATAGGAGATCACCATAATATGAAGAAAAGGGCCGGCCCTTTTGGAGTGTTGGAATTAGAAAAGAATAAATTTTTTCAAGAAGATTTCAAAAATTATTGAGTGATTTTATAACAAATGGGTCTATATGTCGAAAAACTAGAAACATTTTTGTTTCCCTCATTCCCAAAGCATTTTCATTACACTAAATTTGTTTTCTGTTCATTCCATTTTCGATGGTTATGTAATCTGAAGATGCTATTGAAAGCAGGCGAAAAAGAGCATTCATTTTCTTCTAACAAGTGAGCCCTGGAGCCCAATCCCATATGCACAAAAACAAAAACAAAACAAGAAAAATGAAATCAAATATACTTTCAAATGGGACCTAAGTTTATGAAATCTCTCGAAATTCTGTGTATTTAATTCAAGGACCCAAAGAAGTACATAAAGTCTAGTCCAAGGTAGGTCTGTAGATGCTAAATCTGCAGCCTCTAGATTTTCACCAGGCAGGCAGGCAAGCTACAAACGTAGACTACTGGCCATCATTGGTCAACCTTGGAAATTACTCTCCTCCTCCCACTCCTCCTGGGGTCACATCGGACAGGATCCTTACTTGAAGAAAGAAACTAGCAAGAAGCTTTTACCATGGTTTTATTGGAAGAATAATACAGGCATCACATTAATGAGTTTGCAACTACGGCTACACCTATGTCTTTAAAAGCTAGCAGGAAGCTTTTACAACTGTTGGAAAAGATTTGAATCGCAGTGACGATAATTTAACCAAAACTTGATCACTCAGTGATCCACAAGCAATCT